GAGGCATGCATGGGAGGATAAGGTTGATGGGACAAAGGCATGGTGGAAGGGATAGAGAGATGGACGGATGATAAAGGAGTGGATGGAGTGAGGGATGGGTGGAGGGATGGAGAGATGGATGGATGATGGATTGTTGGAGGGAGGGAGGGAATCAGGTAGGGATGATGGGATGAATGGGCTAAAGGATGGATGGGTAGAGGAACGGACAAGGGACTGGTGGGGGGATGGACGGAGGGCTGGATGGAGGTACGTGCTCGAGCGATCGGATGTAGAGATGCAGGATGGAGTGGACAAAAGGATGGATGGGTAGAGGAATGGATAAGGGACTGGTGGAGGGATGGGCGAAGGGATGGATGGAGGTATGTACTCAAGCGATGGGAAGAGAGAAAGATGTAGGGAGGGCAGACAAATGGATGTAGAGATGGAGTATGAAGATGGGAGGGACAAATGGATGGATGGATGACTGGAGAGACATACACATGAGCTGGCAGATGGATGGATGTAGGGACAGAGGACGGATGGACAGGTGGGTGGATGGGGGGAGGGAGGTATGGACGTACACATCAGGATGGATGAGGTAAGGACGGATGAGGGATGGATGTGCACATCAGGATGGAGAAACGAAGAAATGGGTGTGGACATAGGGATGGATGAATGGAGGGATGGATATGGTCATAGGGATGGAAATAAGGAGGGATTGACTGAAGGATGGAAACCATTGGAGGTTGGATAGCTGGAGGGATGGATGGGCATATGGATTGAAAGATGGGTGGGGAGTGGACAAAGAATGGACAAAGAGAAAGGGAAGAGGGGATGGGTGGAGAGATCGAGGGAGGGAGAGAGGCGGACAAACACGGGCATATGGATGAGCGGTGGTGTACGGATGGATAGGGAGGGAGGGACGGGCAGATGGATGTGCAGACTGACGTAGGGATAGAAGGATGGAGGGATGGACCTATGGATGGATCGACTGATGGACATATGGAGTGATGGAGGGAGAATCATAGGGACAACAAGCGGCTAGATGGCAGGAGCGGTGGACAAATGGATGGAGGGACGGATGGGCGAATAATAGATGGAGGGTGAACCAGCATTGTTGCAGGTGTGGGTGTTGCTTTTGTTCTTGTTGGTTGGCAGTGCAGTGGAGGGGGTGGTTTCTTCATCAAAAGACTTCAAAATTGTCAATGTCATGGACATGTGTGATCATCGCTCTGCAGTTTATTCTTACGGAATCTTACCGCTTTGTCCGTCGGAGCACAAACTGCTTGAGATTGGCGTTCCATCTTCAGGGTATCCTTTCAATACGTTTATGTTTCCCAATTAGGAATCTGGAGTCAATCTTTGACAGAAAGTTGCTGAATTTGATCTAAACAACCTAGTTTTTTAATTGTGTTTTCTCCCTCTCCTGGACAACAAGCCTCCCAAAGAGTAGTTTATATGTATTTTTGATGGGCTTTCCTAAATGTGTTCCATACCTGAACCTGGCTGACATGCCATCACTGATGTACGGGTTGTAGCCACACATGGTATATACTCGGAACTGGGGATTGATATATTGAAGCACAATCGTACTGTGAAGTGTTTTCCCTTGGGGTGTGGAGTAAGCGGGGGAAGGAAAAACGACCAGGCTGACCAAGGTATGGGATCGCCACCTTTTCGAGCTTCTCTTTATTTTTGACATTTCCTGACTTTCTTTTTGTCTCTGTTTGTCCGTGCAGCGCCAGGAAGCAAACCAATCATACATCTTGAGAAGGACCTGCAGGAAGGAACTGGCATTCCAGGTAACAACTCCTTAGTTGCTTGAATTTCAAAGGTTGAGCTATGGTCCATACTGCCATTCTCTCTCTCCAAGTCCCTCTCTCCCTCCTGTCTCTTGCTGTGACACGCTGTGATCCGTGGATTTCTATTGTGTTTCAAGTGCGTATTCTATGGGAGTCAGAATGACCTGCAAAAATTGCTGTCTGAGATTCGTGCAATTTTTTCTTTACATCTGTTTTCTGAAAAAAATCGCAGTCTGAGACTGTTCTTCTTTGATTTGCTGTGTTTTGTAAGTGTGTCTGTGATGTACCACTAGCGTTGATGTGGCTTGTGCTGCTCAAGTCCAAGTGAGATAAGAAGGAACAAGTGGACCCGCCGCGGCAAGAAGAGTAAAGATCGCGAGAATTGAGGATGGGGGGGCAAGATAGTAGAATGTAGAGACGCAGTATTCATCCCCTTCCCTATCCCAACATTGCCCCGACCCCTTCCTTCCCATCCCGCCGCCTCCCTCTGCCCCCGACCTTCCCC